CATACGCCAGGGTTAAGACAAAATTGTGAAATTTGCAAACTTAAATGTGTCTGCTGAGGTAAAGATTGTGGACAGAAAGTTAAGGAAATCTCAACTTGGTTACGGTAACGAAGCAAAATTGGCATTGCGGATGCAGTACTGCAGATCCTGCTCTTAGCAGGAATGCGCCCAGTATTGTGTCTAAAATGATGTAGGCAGAAAGTTACGTGACCCCTTTAGGTGACATGCTTCCACAATGCGGTCAATAGGTACGCTTCATGTTGAAACAAACTCAGTGTCCCCGGAAACGGCACAGAAGCAACATTGACTTCTTCTGCAGGTGCAATACTGCAGATCCTGCTCTTAGAGGAAGGCGCACATCATGCTGCCTTAAATGACGCAGGCAGAAATTAACGTGACCCCCTTAGGTTGCATGCTTCATGTTCAAACAAAGTCAGTGTCCCCAAAACATCTGCGAGAAAATTTAACGCATGCAATATTGACATACGTTTCCGGTCAAGTCGAATAAGGGACATATTTGATGAAGTAATAGCTGGTCTCAGTACAGCGGTTGTTTAAATATATATACAGTAAGTGACCTATCTCATGAAATGTTGGCTGAAATTCTGATATGCGTTTCCGATTAGGAAGGATTACTTAGTCGCCGTTGTAATACTGATTATCTTGTGGCATACTTTTATAATATTTCGGACTTGGCAGGATGTCGACTTTTCAATGCAGGTCTTTTCAATCTCCCGTAAAAAGTGTGCTCGGTAAAAAATGACTACTTAATTAGCATGCATTTTTTACCATTAATTTTCGATGGTCGTGGAAATTCAAATATATTTTATAGAAACCATAAACAAAAGTATACTTTCTTTTAGGCAATCAATAGAGAATCACGTCTTGTTTATATTTTATACTTAAGAAAGGAGGATAATTGGGTTTTTAAAAAAGTTTCTAATTATTAGACTTTTTAAGTCCGCGAAATGTCGATTCACATAGCATCGTACCTGGCCGTTTACCACTTCCCCTCATGAAATTTACACAATGGTCCGCATCCATTGCAAAATTTTATGGACTCCGTATGATATCTCTTTAATGACATAGAAAAATATGGGATTTTCTTTACGCGGAACGCATGCACCTTGTAGAGGGAAATCAGTAAGCGCTAATACAACGAATGATCAGGCTCCAAATTAATCGGAAATTAGAAAACTTTTTTAAAACCTAATTATCCTCTTTCTTAAGTATAAAATATAAACAAGACGTGATTCTCTATTGATTGCTTAAAAGAAAGAATATTTTTGTTTATGGTTTCAATAATATATATTTGAATTTCCAAGACCATCGAAAATCAATCGGAAAAATGCATGCTACTTAAGTAGTCATTTTTTACCGAGCACACTTTCCACAGGAGATTGAAAAGAAGTGCATTCAGAAGTAGACATCCTGCCGAGGCCGAAATGTTATAATATTATTCCACGAGATAATCAGTATTACAAGGGCGACCAAGTAATCCTTCCTAATCGAAAACGCATTTCAGAATTTCAGCCAACATTTCATGAGGTAGGTCACTCACTGTATATATGTGCACAGAAAAATAATATCAAAAAGAACGAATAAGTACGAAAATCAACTTGATGGACTTTTGATGATCATTCTTAGGTGATCTCTAAACTCTTAGTAAATTTGCAAAAAAAACTTTTAGTCATGCGCAGCAACTAAATATGCATAATAATGCACGAATAATTTCGGCCACTTGTCAGCTCTTCTTGGAAGGACATCCCCGAAACTCCAGTTTTGTTTCAAACACATTTTTACCCCGTATTTGGAATGCGCACGGCTACTTTTAACGAGTGGTCTCACCGCTCTGCTCTCAGTTTGCTTCGTTAAATGTCACTGGAGTCCAAATGTGCAGTCATCATATGCGATTCTGTAGACCACGTTTTTATCATCAGGACAACAAAACCCATTCCTAGGGTGATTAAACTGGAAAAATTCTTTTTTAGTGATGGACGTCTTAAATATTTTTGCACATTCACTGGACAACCCAGGAGATTATATTCGAAGATCCGCCAGATTGCTTTTCATACTTTTTCCTACTTTTGACAGTATTTATGCATGCATATCTTGAAAGAGAGAAGGCTCTGCAGAAAATCGAGATTCAATAGTTAGTTTTCAGTGTGGTGAAATCAGCTTTTCTTCAGTCGAAATGGACAGATATTTACACATTTCTTTACACATCCGCTACATTGCATCCTTTTATATGGACAATACCGCATAAATCATCGTGCACAATGGCAAATAGGGAGTCCGCTTTTGCCCAACTCTGAAATAGGTAGAATCATCCTCAGTGACTTAACTATGCAAATTCACTTCATCAAATTTGTCCCTTATTTTAGTTGAGCGGAAATGTTTGTCAATAATGCGTTTGTGAAATTTTCTCGCAGATGTTCTGTAGACACTGACTTTGGTTGAACATGGAGCCTGCCTTTTGACCGCATTATGTACAGTACCTGTGCTAACTCATGAAATGTCACGAATTAACACAGGTTAACGCCTTTAACGCAAAATCGGTAAACACTACGGCTCCCAAAGTCTGATAGCGGAAAATAAACGATGTGCCAAAGAAATAAAGCAAAGTTTGGTTAAGAAAATAGTATTAACTGAGATAAAGTTAAATAATTTTCGACAAAAGTCACATTTTCGAGAAACGCCTATATTACAACCAAGTTAATAAAGGCTACGTATGAGGACGTATAAACGAGGAGGGCGCATAAAAGGTCAAAAATAAGTAAGGACAGAAACAGATACAAAAAATTAGTACTTTGTAGATTGTCCATTCGAATTAATAACAGCAGAAAGTCTGTCCGACATAGACATGACAAGGTTATCTATGGTGGATTGTAAAATGTAATTATTGAGTATGAAATCCAATTTTTCCTGCATTGAAAGAGTCTTCTTAGCTTTGTGCCAATTTCTTTTTAACAATTCCAAAAAGATTTTCGATTGGATGGGATCAGGTTAATTTCTGCCTGCGTCATGTTGGGCAGCATGCGGTGAGCATTCCTGCGAGAGCAGAAGTTGCAATATTGCACCCTCAGAAGAGGTGATTAAGAGGCCAGTGTTGCTTCCGTACCGTAAGCTGCAATGTAAATTGTTCGACGCCTAATGTGCAAAAATCCAGGTTATGAGGTAATTCCAAGCTGAGATTTCTCTACCTTTCAATTAGCATTCTTTACATCAGCATAGGCATCTTTCTTTGTGAGTTTCACAATTTTGTCCTAACCAACAAGGGAAACCGCTAGGTACTTCTACACCATCACAGAAACATTGGTCTTAACGTACGGAAGCCACGAAAATTATTCGGAAATTTCCATGCGCTCGAGCACTTCCGAAGTTGTTCATCCTTATAAAAGGCCGTGTAATTGACACAATTTAAAAAGTTGTGAAAATCCCTATAACTATGTTCAGAAAAGACAGTGGCGAGCGAACTTTCCTTTCGGTAACTTCTCACCAGGCCAATACAGTTACACAGGACGAGGTACAGTGAGTGAAAAAATCGATAAAAGTAAGTTTTTAAATTCCAGGCTGGGAAAGAGCGGAAGGGCGCAGAAAGTTGTATGTGGTTAGTCAACCTTTGATCACGGTAAGCGCAGAGCCTGAACAAGGTTCTTTTGGGCTCATAGGGTCGGTTTTCGTAACCTGGCAGCGGCCGCTTCTGCTGTTGCTAACCGACGCTGGCCCAGTAGCTTAGTAAAGCTCGAGGGGACCTTGTAAATCACACGAAATGCTTCAGCGGGGTCCACACGATGCCCTAAATCCACTGCATGCGCAAGAATAGCGCTGTATATTCTCCTAGTTTCATCCTTTGCCAGCCATGCGGGAAGGTGCTCTCGTATTCTTTTAGAAAGGCGCCAACTCGTACGACCAAAAAACCTGCTCCACAGGAGAAAATGAAGGAATAGGTGCACACTACGGCGGTTTGAGGTGGTTACTTATCCTTACCTTCTCCGAGAAGAAAATGATATACGGACCGTTGCTTCTAAGAGGGTTCAGCGAGACAGCTTAATCAAGGCGTCTCCTTAGAAGTTCACTTGCAGCGTCCCCTTGGAAAAGAAATGTGAGGAACAAAGTTTCCTTTTCGGCATTGGTTTTTACCGGTCATTCGGCAATGTTCTTTGCGATAAATCTGTCGGGATACCCGTCTGCGAAAAGGAAGTCTTGAATTTTTATAAGTGCCTCCTCGGTGCCAAACACGGAGCTAGATCACGTTCTTGCTGGAGAGGTACGAAATTGGAAATGCTCGTGTATTATCCAGACCGGGTTTTCTCCCGATAGACGCTTGATCGGATGCGACCGTCAGGTCTACTGTTTAGATAGACATCTAAGAAAGGAAGCGAACCAGCGGTGAGGGCGGCATGCGGGCACGTAGGCGGTAGAGGCCATTGATCATCCCCTCACTAAATTTCGTGACCTATGGCTGAAATCGGTATCCATCTGGTGCGACAAAGCAGATCAGTTGGGGAAGAGCATTGCTTCCCCGCGAGGGAAGAGGACTATATCAGGTGCGTTAAACAAAGTTGGGTTCACGACATCTGCGCGAAGGCCGTAGCTTATAGACTACTTAACATGCGGTCTGAACAAATACACAAGACAAAGTAGTTTCTCTTTCCCATCCTCCTTCCTGCCGTCCCACTCGCCAGAGCGGTAGGGTGAGTCCGTTCACTATGGCAGCCAGGAATGTTCGTTCCCTTTTAGATAATTCCTGGAGCAACTGGCTAAAACGAAGGACGGTGCAAGTCGCTCGAGAAATGGCGCGATACAAGATGGACATCGCTGCATGTGGCAAAGTCTGGTTCTCCGAGCAAGCTCAATTGGAGCAAGTGGATGCTGGCTACAACTTCTGAAGCGGCCGTCCCTGGGCAGAGCAACGAGACACGGGCATCGTCTTTGCCATGCGGAACGGTGTATTGTGACGACTGTCCTATCGGCTACAGGATATCACCGATCGTCCGATGAGCCTCCGCCTGCCTAATAGAAGGTCCAACTTCGTCACCATTATCAGCGCCTGCGCCCCAACAATGACCGGCTCAGACGAGATGAAGTCCAAGTTCTGCGAAGACCTGCTCAACCTCCTGGAGTCTGTGCCTAGGGCGAATAAGTCAAATGTCCTTGTTGACTTCAATGCCCTCGTTGGGACTAACTGTATTTCCTGGAGGCGAGATCTGGGTCCTCGCGGAATCGCCGGCTACCACGGCGAACCAAAGAACCAGCGCTGAATACCACCTCTTGCTGACCAACGCATTTTGTGTGCCTTCCGACGTGGACGGAGACCATCTGGGTTCACTCTCGGTCGCAGCGCTGGCAGATGCTGAAATATGTCCTCGTTTAGCGGCGATATCGCCATGAACTGATGGTGAACAAGACGATCTTCGACAACGATGCCCGGGCAGACCACCGTCTCGTTATCTATACGAGGAGTTTCTGTCCACAAGGTAAGCTGAATACTGCTTTGCTGTTTTTGCCTTCTCACCGTTTGCCTTTCAGCAATCGACCGACTCGGTGGCTGGAATACCTGCCAACAGCAAATGGAAACGCCACCGTGGAAACTCGATGGTGCGGATTACTGGATAGTGCTCAGTCGACTGCCTTAGCCGCACTCGACCGCGCACGTCGGCAGCAACCAGACTGGTATGACGAAAATGAAACAGCCGCCAGTAACCCGATACAGAAGTGCCAGGAGATGCGGACTCGTCTCTACACCGGATTTGTGGACTTGACTACGGCCTTCGATGCGGCGGATCGTGAGGAACTGCGGAAAATCATGCAGAAATTCGGCTGTCCTAAACGATTCACGCACTTACTACGTCAGCTCCACGAGGGAATGATGGCGCGATCCACGAGGTGCGATCCGAGGCATTCGCATCGACCAATGAACTGCGTCCTCAGGCTTACCCCCTTCAGTCATATGTTCTTTGGCATGCTGATGAACGCCTAGCATGATGAGCGTCCCTAGGTACGCCTAGCTTACACAATTTTCTCAACAGCAGGTGCATGAGGGCCAAAACGCAAACATCTACGACTACAATGCAAAATCTGCTCTTCGTTGATGACTACACGCTCAACACCACAACTAAAGTTGGGATATAATGGAGAATGGGCGTTCTCGCCACCGGGTGCGTCAACTGGGACCTGATTGTCAACACCGACAAAACGGTGATCATGCACCAACCGTCAGTCAACGCGCAACGATGCACTCCGCCTTGAATTACTGTCAACAGCCACCAACTTGAAACCGTAGACAAATTTGTTTGTTACAGACGCACACTTTTCAACAGCACCAGAATCGACAATGAGTTTGTCTCCCAACCAGACAAGTGTTCGGCCGGCCGCAAATCTCCGCGTGGAATCGTCGCGACCTCCAAATTAATAGCATATTGAAGATTACAATGCCGTTGTCCTGATGGCACTTCCCTGTGGAGCGGAGACTTGAAACCGTCTACTCCTGTCATGCCAAGATGCTCAACCACTTCCATCTCATCTGCCTTCGCAGAATACTAAGGGTGAGATGGCAAGACGGGATCCCCGACAGCGAGGTTCTCCTGAGGACAGAAGGCACATGACTACCAAAACAACCCTTCTATGACGATATCGCCGTCAACAGGTGCAGAACGACGTTAGAAGGACTTTGGAGGACTTCCTCAAACGACTGCATATCACTCCAGAGACATGGGAAGACCCCGCTCATAAAAGATCGAACTAGAGACAAAAGTGAAGGCCGACGCTGCCATTTGCGAGACAAATCCACTGCGAAAGTCAAAAGTGAGGATTGCAAATTTCAACTCTTCCGCCACCTCAATGCCAACCATTCGCCGCTTCCAACACGTCCGCACTTCCAACGCACATTCCGCGCACGAATCGGTCTCGTTGGACAGTTTCGAACCCAATGCGCCATCAATCCGACGACGCCCACCTCTTCTCCCTCTCTCAGCCCTGCCGCAAATCCCACGCTGACCGCCGCACTCCTCATCGCCAATCACACTGTCGCTGTCCTGCTGCTACCATCCACCGCCCTGTCCCGATCCCCGCGTCGACCGCAGTGGCCAGCATCACCATCGCCACGACTTCATACACTCCCCCACTGGTCGGTCAATTGCAGATGCATTACACAGAGACTGGCGATTTGGAGCACCGATCTCCACTCACCGTACCCATCTCAACTGCCCTCACTGCCCCTATACATTCACCCATCCTTTGGGCTTCTTAGATTGCATGAGCATTTACGAAAACCTACCGGTAGACAACCGCCTGCTGCTTCTTATTATCTCCACCGGCACCCTCATCACACAATAATATCGCTGCCGCTAGGACCCGACTGCCACATTCTGCGCAAGTGAGAAGTGAGCTTCCTGGCTCCGCTTCCATGCAGCTCCTCTGCTGCATGTGTGATCCGAGCCTGAGACTACTTTGGTGCGCCAGAGCCGTGGCTTGCAGGGCTGCCGACTAACACCTCAACCCAGCCTTGCTGTGTGCGTTTTTGCGTAGTAGCGGACTGTTGGGCTGAGAGCCACATTGTCACTGCTCCTTCTTAAGTGATCTCTGACACCCCCAGATATGTAAGGAGTGCGTGTTATTTAATGTGTGGTGTCTTTCAGTCGCTGACTGACCGATTACCCAGCTTTTGAAGTGTGATAGCCAAGACACAATGCAGGACTGTATGCCACCCCTCTGGGCCCTAAGTTTCGTGCGCGTCGGCAGTGCTATGATTGGAAAACCATGGCCCTTGCTGTCTGGTGTGCGCTAGCAGTTCTACGGAACCGGGTTTTCTGGCGGTAGGTGGTGTTGCGTTTCCGCTGAGTAGACATAACGTGTGCATGTCTGCCCAGTAATTCACATCCTTTCTCTTGCTGTGGGCGTTGTTGATCGAAATCCTGGTCAAGTGTTTGTTGTGTACCACGGATGTGGTAGAACGTCTAGGCGCGGGTTTGGTTGTACGAGCCACCTGCGTCCTCCCTCATCTCCAGTCTCCGGTCTTTTTGACTCTTTCTTGACACCGGGTCCAGGTTGTGGAGGAGAAGAGGGTGTGGTAAGTGCCGCACAAGACTGCTATCGCTATAAACTAATTCAAGTGCAAGTCTCCAGGTCTGCCTCACCCTGCGACGAAGCAAACGGTGGACATCGTTGGATGCGACGGTCGAACTATCACGCTTTTCGCACCGATTTTTTTCGAATTTTTGCAACACAAAGAGAGTTCAGTACGTTTGCCTATAATTTTCTTAACACGCCTGATGCGAACTAAACTGTTTTATATTTCCATATTTAATATATTTTCTATAAATTTTTTGCTAAAAACTTCTTAGAAGTGTCTATTTGGCTCACGGTGATCACCTCCTTGCGTGTTCATTTCCCCTCAAATATAATATATTTTTAAAATTTCTGTGTGCATATCAATCAGTCGTTTCATCTTACCGCACAGACGCCGTTTTTGTTAACTTTGTTATAGCCCGCCGGTTAACGCATATGATATATTTCTAAATTGTTGGGCAGTTAAATTGGCTAATTGAAAACCAGCGTTCAGATAGCATTGGTAAAAGGGCGCTCACCGATCGCTCTTATGGAATTCACTCGTTCCGTTGTGCCTTACGGGCTCTCTCTCTCTCTTAAGCCTAACAAGTTACCGCACAGCAGCGTACGATATAGGCAGAATATTATTACCGACAACGACAAGTAAGACTGGAATGGCCATTTCTGGCTTATTAGCCGCCATCAGCCAGCCACACGCAAACCCAAAGTGTTGTCAGTAATAACATTTAGCCTATATCATGCGCCGCTGTGCGGCTCTCTGGTTGGGCTCGGGATAGAGCCTGTAGGGTACAACGGAAAGAGTGAGGTCCATAAGAACGATCGATGAACGCCCCTTCACCATTGTATATTCTCGATCGAAACCGACGGGACAACGAGCCCCTGGCTCAGTTTTTAGAGGGGTCGGGCTTCTAACTAAAAGGTCGCGAGTTCGAGCCTCATGTTTTCCACATATCGGGGTTAAATATGATGTCTGACGACGGCTAATGAGGCAGAAATGGCCATTCTGATATGCTGTGTCTTTGTCGGTAATAACGTTCAGGTGGCCGAAAGGGACAAATGATTTCGAATTGATGAAAAAAATTCTCCAAAATGAATTTGATTAAGTCTTAGAATCAGATAAAGTGTGATATTCAAATTCGTTTTACTATTTTCCTGATAACCGAAGGGTAGGAGGAAAAGGAGGCGGGATTATGAAGCAAAGATTTCCTCCCTCGGACTTTTTGCTGTCCGAGTGATAGTTTGTGCATGGTACTTATACTTCCGTCGATGACCTTCGTTTCCCTAGAAATTGCCAGCATCTGCGTCACTCTAACGCATGGCAGTGTGAGAAGCGGTGCAATGCACATCTTTGTTGACAGTCGCACATTTTGCGCGTTATTCTTTAACTACTGGCTTAAAGTTGCGCAGATTCTGGTGGCATTTCCAAATTTGCGTCTGCAGACTTTCGCGTTCACTTTTAAAGACCAGTTATCTGTCTAGTTTTGTTTTGGCTGACAGCTTATACAGCAACTGTATTACCTCGTAAAATTATAATCGAAATTTTATATCGTGTTTTCGATTATCAACTATTAATTCGGTAGGGTTGCAATATTAATTATCTTGAGACATAATTCGCTGATATGTACGTCACATCAGAATGCTCGAGTTTCTTTCCGGCCACCGGCAAAAACTAAATTCTGTGAGAAACGCTTACTACGAAGCATGAATTGCTCTCACCGTTTTTAGAATCCCTTATAGATCAAAATGTATTTTATGGAAAAGTGTTTACTTAAAGAAACGGTGTCTCTCAGTTTAGAAAATCTTTTAAAAGTCACGAGTAATTTATAACCCGACCGACTTTTGCACTTATATTCAAGGTTTCTAATTCGCGACCATTGTGTCTTCCGTTTAGGAAAAATTATATATTTTTACAAGATACTAAAGTGTTATGACATAGGACTTATGCAATTTTGAAGTAGAATTATACCGTTAGAAACAGCAGTAAGTGCAAAGATACAATGTTTTATAAAAGGCGATTTAACCACCATAAAAACCGAGTAATTAGAAACATTTGTAGGCGTCCATCATGCTTTTAAAAGAGGCGTAATGTACAAAACTGACAAAGGCATAGTTTTTACAGGCGGATGGAAATAAGCCCATTTAATTGCTTCTAAACGAGAAATTTCGGCAGTGTTTAGGTATACGCGCATACGGA